AAGGGAAGCAGACTCGGTGTGAGAATCGAGCGAAGCATCCTGTAGCTACCGAAAGTCCCCACATTTAAATAAGGAGGGCATTCCCTCTACTTCTGTTGTAATTTTGATTAATTAGTTTGTAATAAGCTATTCTCATTAATACAAACGAAGTTCCCTATTTTTGGGATATCAAAATTTACACCTACAGAGATCCCTGAAGTCGATGCAGATACAGATTTCTTCGTTCTTCTTCAAAACTGGAACAATGTTAGCCACCCAATCAGGATGTTGTTCCTCTCTGATGAAGCTTGACTCTATCAATTTCTTCACTTCGGCTTAGATTGCTTCCATGATCTATGGACGAAACCGTCTTTGCTGTTGTTTGATAGGTTTGGCATCCAAGTTGATGTTGAGGCGACGCATGGCGATCTGAGGATCAAGGCCAGGCATGTCCTCATAATTTCAGGCGAAGACATAAATATATTCCCAAATGAGAGATATAATGTCTTCTTTCTCCTGGAGAGGTAAGCTATCAATTTAATGAATGAAAAAGCCTATTTCTTCCTATGCGTTTCCTGGTGGAAAAAACCACCGGTTGATAAATATTGGTTTGGTGTTCGCCTCATCTCCTATATTTATTTGGAATATCTTATCCTCCATGGGTGGTTCACGTTGTTCAAACCAACCAATCCATTAGGTACTGACATGATGATCCAATGCTTCATCATAAAGCGGGAGCTGGTCATCCTCTTTGATTATGGTGAGATCGATCGTAGCCATGTTGACTGTGAGGTCCCTGAACAGATCTCCTATGCTAATATATGAATCCCACATTGAGGATGTTGATGATGAATTTTTGGAAGGACCATCGTTAGAGTCTTCACCGCAATTACAATATAATTCTGATGAAGAGGAGGAGTAACCCAGGCCTCTTTAAGTTTTGCCGAAGTAGTTTTCAGGCTTCCTTTAGGAACATAAGCAGGTCGGACGAGTGTCTTTCGCCCTTTGTTATAATTCAATCCTTCTTTACAGGTGAAGTCATAACTCATACTCTCTATTATACGCTTCGCGTTATGATCGTAATACGAGAATTGATGAGCGGCCTCGTCATTGTCTGACTCATCCCATATTGTGCGCATAGTCCAGTCTCTCTTTCCAAAGATAATATCTTTCTAATAATTACCTCGGGTGGGTACGACAAAGACGGCTTGCGAGGACTCGGTCGCCTGTTTGTCTGTGATGAACGATGAGTACACGGGAAATTGCAAGGAAGAGTTTTTATATAACTCTGCAACCAAATTACTGAGCTCGTCATTACTAGACTCTGAACTAGATGACAAGTAAGCAAAGTCAGGATCTTCATTCAGGATAAACCCATCTGCCTTGGTAGCGTTAGTTACAACAAGGTCTCCATAGCCGATTAAAATAGGTTTAATGTCATTCAAGACAAGATCCTCTTTGTACTCAGACTCACTATCGGCCTCATTGCCACTGCTACATTCCTCGACCGGTGGCTCGTTGTTCAATTCAGAGTCCTGGTAGAGCAAAGAATCAGTGAAGTAATTTTTAACCCCTTTGAAGGGCTATTTATCAACAATCACCGTCTTTACTTGATCACAGTTGTCCACATACTTCAAACACTGATGCAATGTGAATGGGACTATCCGATTGCTATAGATCTATGGCTGACCTAATAGCATGTTGTAGGAAGGCTCAACATCGATGACGGCAACAGGTCACTTCCATTTTCATGTCGCCTAGCCAACACTTCGTGCAGATCTTCCCCAGCGGCCGAGTTCCAGCGGCAATAAAGCCAAAGATGGTGGTAGTCGTTGCGCACAGCCAATTTTGAGGTACCCCCAAGTATTTGATAAGCTTCAATAGAACAATGCTCAGTGCAGACCCTAGATCTTCTTGGATCATGTCCACTCGAGAGGAGCCGACGTATCCAGTGAAGTACATGGGTCGATCGTAGGATGTACTCTTGATGAGCATATCCTCAAGAGTGAAGGTAAGGCAAGGAATCTGCTATTTGGATGTCTAGCAGCATTATTGTAAGGACCATGAATTTTGATACTAGTTAAAATAATTTTTTGATATTTTAAAATATTTAATTATTATTTTTAAAAGAGTATTTGTATTTTTCTTGATTTTCTACAATTTTCTATGGTTTAAAAATCTGAATATATATTTATTTAAATGATTTTGATATTTATAAATTTATTTTGTATGGTAAAAATTTCTAGAATTAATTTGTAGTGTTATCGGTACTATTACGTATTATTTTAAATAATATATTACATTATTAATATTACTATAAAATATTTCGTATAATACATGGTATTATTAATTACGTGTTCTTGGTATAATTTATTGTATTATTTTTACTGTGACATATTATCTGTCGTATTAGTATAACTGGTATATTTTAGTATGTATATAATTATCCCATAGTTATTTGTTTTTAAATATAAGTAATTATATTTTTTAATAATTAATCTTATTTAATTCTATAATTTATAGTATTATTTCTTCGGTTTCGTATCAACTGTTGTATTAGCCCAACATTTGAGCTGACGTGCCCACTCGCGATTGGAGCGGTTTTCTTCTGAGCGGAAGTGTTCGAGCTCTGGGTTTGTTTGCAAATTGGCTTCTCTTTTTCCTAGGTCATTCTCTACCTGCTCCTCCTCCTCATTTCATCCCCGTCCTTTCTTATCCATTTTCCTCTCCATTTCTGCGCTCGAGCTCTGGAACCCAACAAGAGATCAAACCCCATCCTTTCTTCTCCATTTTCCTCTCCATTTTTGCGCTCGAGCTCTGGAACCCAACAAGAGATCAAATCCCCATCCTTTCTTCTCCATTTTCCTCTCCATTTCTGCGCTCGAGCTCTGGAACCCAACATCTCTACCCTCGATCTTCGGTTCCCAGCAAACTTCCTGCTCAGCCAAAATCCTTGTAAGTTGTATTCCCCTTCATTCATTTTCGTTTTTCTGTTTTAAGATTTGGTTTATGGGATCTACCTATTTTCTGCGATTTTCTGTTCGGATTGGTTGCTGATCTGAAATTTGGTTGAAATTTGGTGCTTAGGGTTTTTATTTATGTGAATCGGTTCCTTTTTTGTGAGGATAATCACAAATGAAGAACTTTTATCTTGTCTGAGACTAATCAGAAATGAAGAACTTTTAGTAGCTTTGTTTACAGTACCAAAGAGGCGTTCCATTTAACTTGAAGATGAGCGGAGACAATAATTGTAATAAGCTCCTGGATATGCCATAAGTTCAATGTAACATTTAGCAAATATTTTCCATCTAAATTGGCTTTTTTCTTTCTCTTTATTTTCTCAACAAGTTCATGTCTCTGTTGTTATTCTTGAGCTTTGAAAGAGTTTTGGTAAATTGTGTTGTATGTGAGTTCTTGTCGATGTGATTTTCTTTTTTTTTCTACTCGTAGTCTGATATTAAGAAAGTTTAGAAAGAATGATGAACTTAACAAATTGGTATAATCTAGTTTAAGATTCTTGGACAAAGTGTCGTATGAGAAAATGTAGAGGATTTGTGAAAACAGATTTGATAATGTTAAACGAACAACCAGCTACTATCGTGGGAGATTTGTATTAAATCAATTACAGAAAATATTAGTGTATATGTAAGTATGTATAAGTTATTATCTGTGAGAGCTAGCCAACTTTTTTTTTCAAATTAACCTCGTTCAAAAACTTGAGAATTTGTCCTCTGACTCAATCTCATTCAAACTTCCTGCTAGATGATATTTATATAGTGAATCTGTTGATAGCATGTTATTTGCAGATAAAAGATGAAGAAGTTTTCGGAAGAGTTCAGTGGAGAAGATGAGGGTTTAGTTCCAAAATGTTATTGTGAGTTAATTTGCAAAATATGGATGTGCAAGCAAGGACACAATAAGGGCTTGGAATTTTATGGATGTCCGAGATACAAGTGACCTAATTGTAAGGGTTGCAACTTCTTCGAATGGGTGGGTGATACTAAGAACATCACAAAAAGACTGGAAATGCTGGAAAAAAATGTTGAGGTTTTGAAAAAAATGCTGAGTGGTGTAATTTTATATTTAAAATTTATAAGTATCGTTGTACTGATATTGTTGTTCTGTATTATAGTCAAATGACTGAGCAACATATCAATGGATGACTAATGTATCTAAATATCCTATTGTAAACAAATGTTCAAACTGGTTATGGTTATTTGTTATGGTTCACTTGTTATGATTATTTGGTATACCTTAATATTGTTTCTTTGAGTTTTTTGTCTTGAGAATCCTATTTACAGATAGTGTTGCTCACGCCTTAAATGTCCTCCCACGCATTTCTTTAAGTTCCTTACGCGTTCAGAATATTTGTTCACCAGCACAGATGCAAATCCCATTAAATGCAACTACTTAGCAAAGACAGCTAATACAAAGTGGATAACAATTTTGGCTTCGTGGACACAAAATTAGCAACAAGACCTCACACTCCAGAACATAATTCTCTGTCATAGCAACATATGCTTAAAGAATCCCAAACCATTCTCTTCAGTTCAGTTTTATACGAAGATAGATAGATAGATGAGCCTACCTCACACTGAAATGGAACCTTTTGTCATTGCACACATCGAGAAAAAACAAGGGATATTGATGGACATACAGGATGCAAGTAATCAACAAGAAACACAATGCAGAATGGTTCCATCATTTTTTTTAACAAGAATATTAAGCACTCTTGTCAGATTGGGAATTTTTAGAATTCTGCAGAACAAATATCTTTGACATACTATTACAAATAGTGAACTGAATGTTTCCACACAAACACATTTGTCCATCAGGTACAAGTTCTAAACTTCCAACACAATAGTAAGCCAACAGGATAGTGCCCCCAAACACAATTATCTGCAAAAGTTTAACAAATACAATATCAGATTTGAAACTATTGCATTGCTACAATATACTCAAAGGCAAAATGTAGTTTCATCACCAATTCTTAAAAAGCGCATCTCCATAAACTTTGTTCATTAGTCTTCTTTGTCAATTTCGCTGCATAAAATGTCAAAGATAAAATTAATATTACGATTTAAGTAATAAAATATTGTAACTTGTTAATGTACTTAAACATACCTGAGCTTGTTAACTGTACAACTAGTCCTATAATGCCCAAGTTGTCCACATCTGCCACATGTACGCTTTTGCCTCTCTTTCTTGTCTTGTGCTTGTTCTAAAGTTGATTTAATTCTCGTGGCATTGCGTGGACGACCTTTGGTTCTTGCTTGTTTTTCTGGGTCACGAACTGTAATTTGCGGAATATGCTGGATTGTATGTGAAGTAGGTATCTGTGGAATATCCGGGTCAAGAACGTTACTGCTACCATCATCTATTGCTTGACACCCTCTGTCTTCTTCTTCAACCCTCTCTATGAAACTTGTTAACAAAGAATCAAGCTCATGCATTCTCTTATCTGACTCAAAGGCAAGCTCCAGTGCATTGTTGGTTTTTGCTTTCAAAGCCCAAGATTTCAACAAATTTATTTTTTCTACACTGCCTGCAATGTTTTTGCCAAACACAACATTACTAACACTAATGTTACGATGTCGAGCATCTATAGTCCAACAGTGTAAAATATATGCACTGGGCAATGAACAACATTGTCTGTTGAACATTAGAGTGTACAATATATGTTTGCATAAAACACCACTATTCTCAAACAAACCACAGCTACAACTATACTGTAATTCTCTACATTCATCATAAGTAACAAACCTCCACTTTTCATTGCTTTCATCTAAGTAACCAACTCGCCATAAAACAGATTTTTCTTCTTTTCTCTCCTCTTGAAGGCCAAGAACACCACAACCTTTGATCTCATTCTGAAATACATGAAACATAGTGCGGGTATAACTACTTCCAGCTTGTCTTTCAATTGGATGCCCAAGGTGAAACTGCGGTTTTGTATTAAGAGTTCTAAAATCTTCATGTGCTTTACTCAATCGTCGATGTATCACAGCCGTTTCATATTGAGTTACAAATTCTTTTAACTGTGTTTGTGAATTCACATATCCATCAAAGAATGAGTTGATGCTTTCACTCCTTTGAGTTGATCTCATTCCTGCAAAAAAATACCTTTTAAGAAGCATGCCACCCAATGGTCTCGATACATGTACATAGTTTGCAGCCATCCATCTTCTTCTTCTATTATATTAAATTTCTCCTTCATCTCGAGCCAATGCAAATTACAGTTCTCAATGTTACCACTATTACACCACAAGTCCCAATATTTTTGAAATTCTTCACCATAAACAGAATTCAAAGTATGCAAATGATCGGCGATATGTCGCAGCAGATGCCAATAACAATAACGATGCCTTGTATTTGGAAAGACTTTATGAATGGCATTGCACATTGCTCGGTCTTGGTCTGTGATGATAGCACCTGGTTCAATTCCATGCATGCAGTTTAACCATTCCTGAAACAACCAAACAAATGTTTCTTCTTGTTCATCAGCTAGCAATGCACAACCAAATAAAGTAGATTGTCTATGATGATTCACCCCAGTAAATGGTGCAAATGGAAGACTAAACTTGTTGGTTTTATAAGTCACATCAAACACAATAACATCATTAAACTTCAAATAAGTTGCTCTTGATTTTCCATCTGCCCAAAAAACACTTCTCATTTGTCCAGTACAATCTACTTCCAATGCAAAATAAAAATCTGCATCACTAGCCGCCTTTCTTTGAAAATATTGGATAACAGATAAACATTCATTGCCAATATTGTTGTGCCTTTGAGTTTTCATATAGTCAATGCACTGTTGTGGTGTTACTGATTCATCTTCTCTACCGCTTGTGATGCTAATAACACGAGAAATAGTGGAAGGAGTAATACCCTCTTCTTGCAAACATTGAATCATTTTTTTTACACCTTTTACTTCTATGAAATTGTTGTTGTGACCTGTGCATCTTTGCTTTATCGGGACTACTGAGCATGTGGTTTGTATGATCTTCAATAAAACCTATAACTTTCCATGTTTTATCCTCCATTAATTTTATTCTCATCATTGCTTTACAGCCAACTCTGGTCTCTCGCCGATGATTAATATTTTTCCCTATATCTCTCTTGTCTTTGTTAGATCTGTAACCTTCTTTGTCACAAACAAATTTTCTATTCAATACTTCTTTATCTTTCTGGGAGTAATTCACTGAGCTTTTTCTGATTCCAAATCCCATCATCAATGCATACGAGTTATAATTGTCATAGGCCTCCACATGACTATTAAACTTCATTCCTAAACATGGTTTTTCTCCAATTTGCATTTGACTTGCATTTCTACATTCAAATGTACTATCATCATTAAACATCATGCTATTTATCTCCTCCATTCTGAAATAAAGATAATTGTTGAAAAATATATATAATTACTTAATGTTACTATTTCAAATAACATTTTTAATGTCAGCGAATTGATGATATTAATGATGTACCTTGAACCAGGTTTAGCAATTTGTCTTCTTCTTACCTCTTGAAAGCTCTGAGAAATTGCTCCCCAGAACACAAGAACAAAGACTGCCAAAAAAATTAAGAACAAAGAATTATAAATACTAGTGTTGTAATTAGAAATCTTCATGAATTTCAGAATAACTTTGTCCAAGAATCTTAAACTAGAAATACTAGTGTTGTAATTAGAAATCTTCATGAATTTCAGAATAACTTTGTCCAAGAATCTTAAACTAGATTATACCAATTTGTTAAGTTCATCATTCTTTCTAAACTTTCTTAATATCAGACTACGAGTAGAAAAAAAAAGAAAATCACATCGACAAGAACTCACATACAACACAATTTCTTAATATCAGACTACGAGTAGAAAAAAAAAGAAAATCACATCGACAAGAACTCACATACAACACAAGTTACCAAAACTCTTTCAAAGCTCAAGAATAACAACAGAGACATGAACTTGTTGAGAAAATAAAGAGAAAGAAAGAAGCCAATTTAGATGGAAAATATTTGCTAAACATTACATTGAACTTATGGCATATCCAGGAGCTTATTACAATTACTGTCTCCACTCATCTTCAAGTTAAATGTTACATTGAACTTATGGCATATCCAGGAGCTTATTACAATTACTGTCTCCACTCATCTTCAAGTTAAATGGAACGCCTCTTTGGTACTGTAAACAAAGCCTTATTACAATTACTGTCTCCACTCATCTTCAAGTTAAATGGAACGCCTCTTTGGTACTGTAAACAAAGATACTAAAAGTTCTTCATTTACGATTAGTCTCAGATAAGATAAAAGTTCTTCATTTGTGATTATCCTCACAAAAAAGTAACCGATTCACATAAATAAAAACCCTAAGTACCAAATTTCAACCAAATTTCAGATCAGCAACCAATCCGAACAGAAAATCGCAGAAAATAGGTAGATCCCATAAACCAAATCTTAAAATAGAAAAACGAAAATAAATGAAGGGGAATACAACTTACAAGGATTTCGGCTGAGCAGGAAGTTTGCTGGGAACCGAAGATCGAGCGTAGAGATGTTGGGTTCCAGAGCTCGAGCATAGAAATGGAGAGGAAAATGGAGAAGAAAGGATGGGAATTTGATCTCTTGTTGGGTTCCAGAGCTCGAGCGCAAAAATGGAGAGGAAAATGGAGAAGAAAGGACGGGGATTTGATCTCTTGTTGGGTTCCAGAGCTCGAGCGCAGAAATGGAGAGGAAAATGGAGAAGAAAGGACAAGGATGAAATGAGGAGGAGGAGCAGGTAGAGAATGACCTAGGAAAAAGAGAAGCCAATTTGCAAAAAAACCCAGAGCTCGAACACTTCCGCTCAGAAGAAAACCGCTCCAATCGCGAGTGGGCACGTCAGCTCAAGCGCAGGAAGTTTCCTGAGCTCAAGCTCAGGATCCGTTTTCCATATATATATATATATATATATAATATATATATATATATATTATATATATATATAATATATATATATATATATATATATATATATATATTATATATATGAAAGCATAAGTATAATTTCCCATTAATACCAAACACATAAGTACATAAGTTACTAATCTTGGGCTAGCAACACAAGGGATCTAAACTACAGAAAAACTACAGAGAGGCCGGCAGCAGGACCCTGGCCCGTCACCCTCAAACTATAGGAAACCTCAGTAAGGATTCCAGCACTTACCAAATATGCCAAAAAAAATGTAAAATTATGTTACCCTCAAATACAAAACAATAACACCAAGCTCTCGATAATGGCGATTATTCACAGTTTGCACATAACCCCAATTGCCTAGAATATCAGAATTACCAACCTTATACTATATATATTATATATATATATATATATATATATATATATATATATATATATATATATATATATATATATATATATAGATTAATATATATACCCCTCTCTCTCTTCGCTAATTCAATTTCACGCCGCCACCCCCTATCATTTTCTCTCTCTCTCCTCCTCCTCTCTTCCTCTCTCATCTCTCCTCTCTCTCTCTCTCTCTCTCTCTCTCTCTCTCTCCTCTCTCAGTTTTCGCCTCCGGCAACCCCGCGCCCAGCCTGTCCTCCGCACCCGCCTCCGTCCACCACCCCTGACTTTGCCGCCGTCTCCTGCCGCGCAGTTTGCCACTCAGCATGCCACATCCCATCTTCTTCTCCCCTTCTCATCTTCCCCAACCCGACCGTGCCTCCACACGCCACGCGCCACCCATCACACTCCGCACAACCCTATGTAAGTTTTTAACCCCAACTCCGGCCAAGTTGCCCGTCCGCCTCCGCCTCCGCCTCAGCCACTTTCTAACCTCACCAATTCTCGCCCGACCGCGCTCGCGCCTCCTTCCCTCCACCAGCGTCCGCAATCACACCTCTCCCCTTCGTCGCCCTCTGCTCCGCCTTGCATACGCCACCTCCTCCTACCCCGTCGTCGGCCTAACTCGCGACGCCTCCACAAGCAGCCGCCTCTCGAGAAAGCCCTACCGCGCCACAACGTCCCCGTTACCCAACCCTAACCTCCAGCAGGCCCTACGCGATCGAAGCATGGCCGATGTCCCAACAAACCCGGCTCGCTGCCACCTCGCTCAACCACGCTGCCCGATGCCCCCTCGCCTCGCGTCGACGCGCGATCTCAGTTCGACAAAATCCGAGGCAAGATCTCACTTCTCTTTGACTGGTTTTTACAATTTTTGTTATACTGTTAATTAAGTATATGTAAGATTCTGACTCTCGATTTAATTTCGCATCAATTATTATATTGTCATAAATTAATTTGAGTAAGATCCCCGCTCTATTATCTTATTACATACAATTTTTAGATATGTTAATAATTTTCTGCGTGGGTTTGATGAATAATATTGAATGGATAGTAATTATGTGATAAATAGTATTTTTAGGACAAATATAATAAATTAAAGAATTTATTTTGGGTAACAGAATTATTTTAGATTAATTATAATATTTTTAGAATTTATGTTGTAGAAGGAAATTATTATAGAATAATAAATGTTTTTAAAGAAGTTATTTTGGAAAAAGATTATTTTTGTATTATGACCGTGTGATTGATAGTTGTAGAACACGACATTTTATGTACATTGACACCAACATGTTAACACTCTTATTACACTCACTCATGTCATATATGCTCACTTGATTCATCGCTAACTTACATAGTCATGTTCATCATATGATTTTTATAAAGTTAGTTGTATTTATTTATTATTTCTTATTTTGTTGAGAACCTTAATGGTTCATGTCCTTAGTTGCCTGGTGTGTCGTGTACAAGACCAAGATACCTGTGTATTGTTGACTTAGAAAATAAGGAGAGTCGGGATTGGAATTCTTGGTTCAGGTGATCGGATGTGATTGTTGATTATTTCCAGGCTCGCACCAGTGATATTCCTGTGTAGCGCTGGGGTGGGTCTGAGGGAGCAGTGAAACGTTGCGCGTAGATGATTTGTGAATAACCGGTTATTCGAGAATATGAGTTTTGACTATATGTGAGATGTAGAAGAGTGACCTGTTATAGGATGGTAACTACATGACTTGTTATTTGAATGTTTTATGGGTTCTTGTGAGATATGGACCAGTTATATTTCTTTTCATACCTAGATCAGGATTAATATTTAATTATCTACAATTTAAGACATATGGTATATATCCGAGGGTTTCCTTGTTTGGATTATTTAGCTCGACGTACTACGTCTCGAATTGTAGATTTTAAGTATTAATTCTATCGAGTGCTAAGTCCTTGTTACTCGGATGATTATGGATTCTTCTGATCGTTATACTCTAGTGATGGATTGCATCTAGCTTGTTAGTATTCTAGCTACATGTTTCTATTTATTATTATTGTATTGAATTAGTCATTCGACCGTTCCTATTCTCTTTGTGGGATCTTGTCGTGTGCCATGCACGCTGACGTACACCTGTTTTCTCTGGTGTACGTCAGATTTAGGAAACGGACGGTCTCAGCTCGGAATCGTACAGGAACTAGACGATTCACAGTAGGAGTTCCTTACAGATAGAGTAGAAGATCAAGCTGAAGCGTAGTAGTTTTCTTCTGTAGTAGTTGTGGAACATTAGAACTCTTTATCATATTTTTCTTTAGTTTGATAATAGATTTTCATATTTTTAGTTGTACTTTCTTTCATTATGAACTATGTATTTTTATTCCTAGTTGGTCCGTTTTGTAATAAGGGTATGTTTAACCCATATTTTTTTATGTCTAGGATGATTTACCATGGATGATATTTATTTCTTATTCTGGATTGTCTTTATATTCTTGCTATTGTGATCGGGAACCTATGATTGAGATTTATGTATTTGACGCTTAGCATATTGGATTGAGAAGAAAAGAAAAAAAGAAAAAAATGATAGTGTATATTTCTTCTCAATCTAATACGTCGTGGGCTTGTTCACGTTCCGATTCTCCTGGTTTTTTGGGAAGCAGGATGTGACAGGTTTTAGTGGTGTCCCATGCAGGTCACGGTCCTGAGTCCTCACTAGTAAGAATATAGTAGATAATTTAGATACATATCATATTTCATTCGTAAGACTACAATTAAGTTCTTATACTATTACTTTAATAACTATGTTTTAGCTCTAATTTTTGAATATATTATTTTAATTTTAACCCTAGTTCTTGATCCTCGTTTTCCTTCAGAATCATGGTGGGTACGCGCGGTTTTAGTAACCCATCTGGTAGCAGTGCCCCGCAGCCCGAAGTGGATCCAAGCCAACTTCTGACAATGATTCAGGGATTGGTTGCTAATCAGCAGCACCTAACTGGGTAGCTGCAGCGGGAGCCTTAGCACTAACCTCCCCCTTATCCAGAGTTTAGTGTTAAGGAGTTTCAGTATATGTGGGCCCCTTCTTTCTCTGGTGCTGAAGGACCCGTAGCAGCGGAGGAGTTCTTGATGGTCACTGAGACTATCCTCTCGGTGACCCGTATTACCCCTGCTGAATGGGTGGATCTCATGGATATTCAGCTCACCGATACCGCTCGGATATGGTGGACAGCTGAGAAGACTCATCTGGAGAGGCCCATCCTGTAGGAGATGTTCACTGAGTGCTTCAATAGGAAATATTTTCCTTAGTCAGCTCGGGATGAACTCCTACGTAGATTTGTCAAGCTCAAGCAACGAGGGCGAACAGTAGATGAGTACGAGGCCGAGTTTTCTTCTTTGAGCCGATATGCTCCCCACTTGGTTATAGACCCTATGATTAGGAGGCATCAGTTTCACAAGGGTCTGGACAAGTCATTAGGATGGCTCTGGTAGATACAACTTTTGTGACCCATGATGCAGTACTAGATGCAGCTCGTGAGATTGAGAGTGTGCATAAGGAACCTAAAGACCTGCATGTGATCCAAAGCATGACACCAGTAGCTCCAACCAGAGATGACGAGCGTTCACCTTCGAGGCAGCAGCAGAATCCACAGCGGTAGCAGTTTTCTCAGTTCCAGCCACTTCCTCCTGTGCATCCCTATCAGCACCCTGGAGTGCAGACCCGCGGCCAGTCTTTGGTGAGGTGGTCTTATTGTAGATACCCTGGGCATACCGAGAAGGAGTGTCGCAGGCGTCATCATCTGTGCTACGCCTGTGGATCCCCTGACCATATTAGTCAAGACTGTCCACACTGATACCAGGCCCGCTTGCCCCCACCTCCAGTTCGAGCAGCTCTTCCGGCTCCACCTCGATTAGACTCAGCAGCTCTAGCTCAGCGCGGACCCTACCCTCGAGCAGGACCTCTTCCTCCACTGCAGCAGGTTTATCGGGAAGCACAAGGGCAACACGACCAAGTTATCACCGATAAGAATAGTTCAATCTTAGTTTTATTTGAATATAAACTTCCTTACTTCGCATTGCCTTATCATATTATGATAGGATTTGTTTATGAGTGCTAGCTTAGATGTAATTTTCCTTCTACACTAGATAAGGTTCTTGTTTCTTCCGTTATTGCCTTATCACTCTTTGACTCTGGGGCTTCCCATTGTCTCTTGTCTCATCAATTTGTGAGTACCCACTCTCGTTCCATATCTCTGTCATTGGGTTCTTTTAATTTTGATGACGGAATTTATTTTAAGGGGGGCTAGAATGTAAAAACCATGAATTTTGATAAAGTTAAAATAATTTTTTGATATTTTAAAATATTTAATTATTATTTTTAAAAGAGTATTTGTATTTTTCTTGATTTTCTACGAGTTTCTATGATTTAAAAATCTGAATATATATTTATTTAAATGATTTTGATATTTATAGAATTATTTTATGCGGTAAAAATTTCTTGAATTAATTTTTTGTGTTATCGGTACTATTACGTATTATTTTAAATAATATATTACATTATTAATATTACTACGAATTATTTCATATAATACATGGTATTATTAATTACGTGTTTTTGGTATAATTTATTGCATTATTTCTACTATTACATATTATCTATCGTATTAGTATAACTGGTATGTTTTACTGTGTATATAATTATCCCATAGTTATTTGATTTTAAATATAAGTAATTATAGTTTTTATTAATTAACCTTATTTAATTGTATAATTTATAGTATTATTTCTTCAGTTTCGTATCAACTGTTGTAATAGCACAACAGGTAAGTTTTTATTTATTGATAAGTATTCTATAATTAGTTAAATTTTTAAGTACCCGTAATTAATTATTTTAATTAATTTAGTTAAATACCTAAACCCTAACGCTAATTACAATCATATATATATTTATACCCCTCTCTCTCTCGTATTCAATTTCACGCCACCACTCCCTATCATTTTCTCTCTCTCTCCTCTCTCCTCTCTCATCTCCCTCTCTCTCTCAGCTTTTCCGTTCGGACGAACCCGTGCGCCCAGCCGTCCTCCGACACCCGCCTTCCGTCCATACTACCCCTGACCTTCTCCGCCATCTCCGTTCAAGTTCGCCGCCTCCTAGCCGCCCCCCACATCCCATCTTCTCTCCTTCTCTTCTTCCCTAACCCGTCGTGCGTGTCCACCACACCCGCCGCAACCCATCAACTTCGACGACCCGTGCAACCCCTAACTCTAGCTCAAGTCGCCACGTCAACCTCACCTCCAGCTAACTCCCACCTCGCCAATGTCGGCGCCCAACCCGCCGATTGCCGCTCCTCCCTCCACCAGGTCCGCAACTACCGCCTCTCCCCTTCGCTCGCCCTGCCCTCCGCCTGCCGTCGCCACCTATACCTACCCGACGTCGGCCCAACCCGTGACGCCCCAGCAGCTGCCTCCTCGAGAAGCCTCCGTGCCACCACTCGCTATTGACCCAAACCCAAACTCATAGCCAGCCGTCCATGCCGAGCCGAGCACGCCGACGTCCCGACGACCCGCTGCCGCCACCTCCTCAACCACCGCTCCCGATGCCCCCTCGCCTCGCCGTCGATGTCGATCGGTTTGACGAAACCCGAAGCAAGATCTCACTTCTCGTTGACTTGTTTTTATAATTTTTTTATACTATAAATTAAGTATATGTAAGATTCTAACTCTCGATTTAATTTCGCATTAATTATTATATTGCCGTAAATTAATTTTGAGTAAGATTCCCGCTCTGTTATTTTATTACGTACAATTTTTAGATCTGTTAATAATTTTCTGCGTGGGTTTGATGAATAATATTGAATGGATAGTAATTATGTGATAAATAGTATTTTTAGGACAAATATAATAAATTAAAGAATTTATTTTGGGTAATAGAATTATTTTAGATTAATTATAATATTTTTAGAATTTATATTGTGGAAGGAAATTATTTTAGAATGATAAATGTTTTTAAAGAAGTTATTTTGGAAAAATATTATTTTTGTATTATGACCGTATGATTGATAGTTGTAGAACACGACATTTCATGTACATTGACACCGACATGTTGACACTCTTATTACACTCACTCATGTCATATATGCACACCTGTTTCATCGCTAACTTATATAGTCATGTTCATCATATGATTTGCATAAAATTAGTTGTATTTATTTATTATTTCTTGTTTTGTTGAGAACCGTTAGTGGTTCATGTCCTTAGTTGCCTAGTTTGTCGTGTACAAAACCTAGATACCTGTGTATTGTTGACTTAGAAAATGAGGAGAGTTGGGATGGGAATTCTTGGTTCAGGTGTTCGGATGTGATTGTTGATTATTTCCTAGCTCGTACCAGCGATATTCCTATGTAGCGCTGGGTTAGGTCTGAGGTGCAGTGATATTGGGATTGTTGATTATTTCCAATCTCACACTAGTGAAATTCCTGTGTAGCACTGGGGTGGGTCTGAGGAGCATGTTAGACCCTAGAGGGGGGGTGATTAGGGTCTTATGCTAATCTAATCCGATTTAAATACCAATTAAAATTAATTAATAAGTTATCCTAGCAAGTATGAAATACAACAAGTTATATAAGCTAGGATAAGCAATATGAACAACAAGATATTTCCTAACAAAGAGATAGAGGCAATGTATGTGCAAGGATATAAAACTAACACAAGGGTAAACAATATGAACTAGATAGTGGATCATATAAATAATGAGCTAATGACAATGGCGAAAAGAAATATAAACACAAGTATAAATAAACGCCAAAGCACACTCAAACACAAGATATGATCACGGAGTTCGGACCTTCCGTCCTACGTCTCCGCTCCCCACTCCCGGGGAGAAATCCACTATCACAACCGGGTTTTCTACGTTCACCCGAACAACGTTTACACCTCACAGTGTCGGTTTTCAACGCTCACCGATCAACGTCACTCCTCACAATCGGTTTTCTAGTTCACCGAAAACTTCACAACACACTCGGTTTTCTAGCTCATCGAAAACTTTACAACACTCACAATGTAACAAATATAAATTTGTTCTCTACAATAGATAAGAACACAATAAAGCACAACTCAATGTTACAATCTCTCACAACCCTAATATACTATGTATATAAATACAATAAGCTCATGTGGGTGTGTGTAACAATGAGATTCAATAAAAAAATTTAACTCAATAAGAACTAGCAATAAGATTGATATGAAATACAATAGTAGAAATGCTAGGAAATAGAGTAAAGGTAACTTCTCTAAAAACACAAAGAGAGGATGATAATATGTTGAAGATGAACTCTTCAATAGTTGATGTAAACTCCTCTTTGTAACAGCAAACCCAAAACAAACTTAAACCAAAACTAAACAAGCTTAAACCCTTGTTAAACTATTTGAAAAATATTTTCTTGGATGGGTTGAGAACTGAGATCAATGGGGTATTTATAGCCTCCAAGAACCTCAGCCAAAAAACCCAAACAAAAGACCAAAAAACCACTCTGCAACGGCTCAAAAAATACCCGTTGGAACTGAGTTGACAGTGCGGCGGTCGACCGGTGCGGTCGACCACGATCAACAGAAAACAGAACAAAAACTTCCAGACAGTTCGTCGGTCGACCGCACTGTAGCGCGGTCGACCGCTGGTACTGTAGCAGAGCGTATCATTTTTGTAAAATCAATTAAAAATAGTAAAGCAGCTCCAAAAATTATGAAATTTTGTGGGAATGTTTTAGACACATATAGTAACATGTTATAGAAAGAATTTCTGAAAAATAGTTTCCCAGTTGAGATAAATAAATGATTGAACACAGATTTACAGTTTCTAAAAAACTGCAGACATACACGATTTTATAAAATCAATTGGGCACAGTAAATCAACTCCAAAAATAGTAAACTTTTGAGGGAAGTTTCTAAACATGTAGATAAACATGTGGAAGAAAGAATTTCTTGAATATCACTTCCCATTTATGAAAACGCATCTGTTTTATAAAACATGCACGAACATGTGCACCAGCAAAAACATGATTTTGTAAATTCCTTAAACATAACAAATCAATTCCAAACTTGATGAAACTTTGCAAAATGTTTATAAACATGAAAAAAAATATTTTACAAAAATAAATTTTCAATTTTCATTTATCAATTGTGAAAACTCATTATTTTGTAAAAACATGCATGAATATGAATTTGTTAAGAACATGTTTTTGACAAAAAGAGTTTAAACGCATTTTGAAACTTTATGAAATGTCTTCATAAACATTATAACACATGAATATAAAGTAAACATGGTCAATAAAACAATATCACAAAGTTTTCTCAAAATAGCTCATTTTGTGAGAAAATCCAATATTGTGTGTGTATATGATATTGAGCTTAGAGTATTAAACAAACATAATATAAACCTATACTAAATATACCCAAGCTTGATGAAGGTCTTCAATGAGCATGACTTGGTAAACATTACGGAAGAAGCTTGTAATTGGATCTTTAACTTGAATTGACGTTGCTTCACTCCACAATTCCGCCAACCTCCGTTTGATATGATCGTTAAGGCTCGATTCCATCCATCCTCCAACACGTTGTTTGTCTATAATAAATAAGAAAACACAAATACTAGACAAACAACATTAGTGGTAAATTGTTTGTTAAACATCATTAAAACAAGAAGGCCAACAAAGCAGTGATACTGTGATTGTTGATTATTTCCAGTTCGCACCAGCGATATTCCTGTGTAGCACTGGGATGGGTTTGAGGGAGCAGTGAAGCATTGCGCATAGATGATTTGTGAACAACCGGTTATTCGAGAGTATGAGTTTTGACTATATGTGAGTGGTAGACCAGTGACCTATTATAGGATGGTTAACTACATGACTTGTTATTTGAATGTTTATGGGTTCTTGTGAGATGTGGACTAGTTATATTTATTTTCATACCTAGATCAGGATTAATATGTAATTATCTATAATTTATGACATATGGTATATACACGAGGGTTTCCTTGTTTGGATTATTTCGCTCGACGTACTACATCTCGAATTGATGATTTTTAAGTATTAATTCTATCTGGTGCCAAGTCCTTGTTACTCGGAGTATTATGGATTCTTCTGATCGTTATACTCTAGTGATGGATTGCATCTAGCTTGTTAGTATTCAAGCTACATGTTTCTATTTATTATTATTGTTATTGCATTGGTCATTCGACCGTTCCTATTCTCTTTGTGGGATCTTGTTGTGTGCCATGCACGCTGATATACACCTGTTTTCTCTGGTGTACGTCAGATTTAGGAGACGAACGGTCTCAGCTCTGAATCGTACAGGAACCAGTGGATTCGCAGTAGGAGTGCCTTGCAGATAGAGTAGAAGATCAAGCTGAAGCATAGCAGTTTTCTTCTGTAGTAGTTGTGTAACATTAGAACTCTTTATCATATTTTTCCTTAGTTTCTTTCATTATGAACTATGTATTTTTATTTCTAGTTGGACCGTTTTGTAATAAGGGTATGTTTGACCCATATTTTTTTATGTCTGGGATGATTTACCATGGATGATATTTATTTCTTATTCTGGATTGTCTTTATATTCTTGCTATTGTGATCGGGGACCTGTGATTGAGATTTATGTATTTGACGCTTGGCGTATTGGATTGAGAAGAAAAGAAAAAAAAAGAACAAAATGATAATACATTTTTTCTCAATCTAATACGTCGCGGGCTTGTTCACTTTCCTATTCCCCTGGTATTTTGGGAAGCGGGGCATGACCATTATGGACACCCTCTCTCCGTTTCCTCTTCCAAAGTAGGTGAGAAATGCATGGAAAAAACCTCTGAGTCGGCTAGTGCCTCTCGTAGAGCTTCTCGGGTAGATTCGGATAGCCGCAAGAGCTCGTACAGGGCGATCCTGGCTAGAATGTTCTTCAACTGTTCGAGCAGTTCGATCTGAAAGGGTTGACCACTTGAACTCGACTTGTAAGGATTTGATTAGCCTGTTGGTGATGGTTCCATTGGTGGTCTTGTTGGGCTTCCCGCTATTGGAGGGTAGCTCTTGATAAAGTCCTTCCTTGCTCGGGTAATCAAGGCGTCTACCCCACTGTCGGAATTGGTGAG